AAAGAGGAATCTCTAAGAAACTCGAAGGCCCAGAGGAACAAAGTAGTCAAGGGTGAATGCCCAGGGCTAGGGTCAATGTATCTGAGCAGGCAGGCAAAGGAGGGAGAACTTCAAAAGCACACCTACTCTCATTCCCCTTGGCCAGGGCCTGCCTATCTCCCCAGGGGCTGATAGGAGATAAATGAAACCACCTCTTCAAAGCAGCTGCTCAAGGACCCGGATCAAACACTGGCTTGCAGATAAGCTTCAGTCTACATTTCCTTTTGTCCCTTCCTTCCCACCACTGCTCGAAAGGAAATTCTTGGGGGAGGAAAAGGAGTTAGTTAATTCTCCCTTCTTTTATCAAAGGGAGCTAGCTCCCCTGTCCACACAGCTATGGGGCAACAGACCAAGCACCAAGGCAGGGGTCGAAAAGGCCTCTTGCTCTGTGCCTGCCCTGCCAGCCGTTTGCTGTGCGACACACTCTCCCTTAAGCTCTCAGAGCCCATTTCTGCATCTGTCAAACAAGGCTAAGAACACCTGCCCAAAACAACTCAGAAAATTACTGTGAGATGATGGGTGCAAAAATGCACGTGGAAAAACGTATTTTAACATGCTTATACAGTCAACATTTTGAAAAAAAATACATTCATCCTCCTTAAATCGTTGGAGAATACAGTAAGGGGTGATATAAATAAATAGCCCTATATATGTATAATATGTAAAATTCCTATTCGTTCATCAACAAACATTCACTGGGCACCAATTGCATTGACCTGCCTGAATTCACCCCCCCCCAACCCTACCACCTCTTACCAGCTAGGGCATCGGGCAAGTCACTTAAACTCTCTATGCCTGTGAAATGGGGGTCATAGGACCTACTTCATAGGGTTTCTGTAAGGATTAAATGAGATAATGCACCAAAAGTGCTTGAGCACTGTTCTAAGCACTCGGAGCAACACTCGGTGTTGGCTGCTGCCATGGTGGTTCAACGCTCCGCTAGGCAGTAAGAATACAAGGAGGTTGAGAACAACACAGCAGCATTCACAGCCCAGTGGGAGAGCAGACAAGGAAACAAACGCCGGCAAATACCACGCAATCAGTAGGACAGGAGAACACAATAGGAAGTGGGAGAGCAGAGAAGGGCGAGCTCCTTGGGTCACTTGCAAAGCAGGCCGTCCTCCCTCTAGCCTGTTTGTTCCCACTGGTCCTGGGTGTCCCTCTCTCGTGCCCCAGGCTGTGTCTGAAGCCCAGGGATGGGACAGATGGCAGAGGAACGGCCTCGCGGTGCCCAGAGTGCAGCGCTGCTAGACTAGGGCTCTTGGCCAAGGCAATAATGGCCAGCCGCTGAAAGATCCTAAGCACCAGGGAGGAAAACCAAGCTCTCCAGGAGGCAGACCTTAAAAAAAAAAAAAAAAGGTAAATAGTTACCCAGTGAGATATTATTTCATGTTGTTGCCATTAGGGTTTGAGTGTTGTGCTGAAAGGCTGCCATGCAGGCAATGCTGCCTCAAGACGGGCACCTCACATTAGCCCCACGCAGCAAACCCACCACTTCTAGGTCTTAAGCTATCCCCCACCCCCAGTAGCGAATTTTATGTAAACTGAAACAGTGGGGCTGGGGGGAATCTATAACCAGTCACTGTTACCTACAGGATTTTCTTGATGGCTTGGGGAGGGGGGGACAGACTAGAGGCTGAGCGAGGGTTACTGTCATTGCTGTAGGTTTCTGGGGCAAGGTGGCTCTTCTGGTGGTGACCGCCAGTGCTGAGATCTTCTGGATTCAGTCGCTGGCGTGACTGTGCCTGCAGACACAGACGGTGCCATCAGTGGCTGCCAGCATTTACCTGGGACTTTCTCCGTGGCAAGTGCAAAGCAGGCGACGTGAATCATCTGCTTTTGGTCTCCCCGCTCTGAGCTGGTCACGCTTACATTTTACACAGGGGGAAACCGACGCTTAGGAAGGTTGACTTGCCCGGGGTCACCATACCCGCGTGGTCCGGAGATCTGACTCCAAGAGAGAACTCAGCCTGTCCCTGGTCGCCTCTTTCTCTTCGGCTTTAACTGGAGATGACATGCATAAGTGTCGTTCTTCACCGCAGTGTCATGGGGGCATTCTCGGGCAGCCCCACTTCCCTGTCCCGTTTTAATGGTGGCTACTCGTTCCCAGGGCAATCTGAGAAGGGCGTGGATACAGGAAGGCTCCTTGACCACACATCGGCCACTTCTTTGCAAGGGGAGGGAGGACTTGTGCCATATGCCCTGTACAGCGATGTCTTATGTCTCCAACCACCCCCCTGGCTCGATGTACTGGCTGGCCACAGGTGTTCCCCAATAAACACGGCCCATCCGAACCCTGAGCCAGATCCTCTCCCAGGTGGCAGGCAAGCCCTTCCTCTGAAACTGCACTTGCTTTCAGGCCACCAGGGCCGCATTTAGGGCTCTGTGTAGGTTAGCGGTTCAGCTAAGTGAACGTCAAATGCCGATGGTAATAGCCATCTAGTAGTGTTTTACTTAGGCCTCTGGCCTGGCCAGGTATGGTTTTCCATTTTCTCTCCTAAGGCGATCGGATGGATCCAGCCAAAGAAACCCTGCTGCCCTTACCAGCAGGCAGGCCAAACAGAGTCATCCTCCCTTGTGTACTCCCCAAAGCCAGTGAGTCCTGCCCACCTTCCAGGTGGAGAGGAACAGGCCTGGCCAACACTGCAGTGCTGTCTGACACCTGCCCCTATCAGTGGTCACTGCTGGGAGCTCAGGGAGGGAGGGGTTTTTAAAGGGACAAAACAGTATTACCAGGCAATTGCCCCACCCCCATGCCAGCCTGACTGCCTGTCCTCACCTCCTCTTTTCTCTTCCTTTCTTTCATTCGACATCTTTCCCCTCCTCTTTTCTTCTCCAAATAAAGAGTGAATATTCTATCATCCTCCTTTCTCCTTCCAGTTCTCCTTTCCTTCCAAATTCTTAAATGCCTCTTCTCGCTCTCTCCCCTTTTCCTCTGGACTTTAGGTCCCATTAATCATTTCCAACACACATGTGCTAGGGCCCTAGAAGGATGCCTGGGCTGGCTCTCACAGCTGGGCTGGTCACAGTGACCAGGGAGCCTTTCATCTTTCACTGCCTCCTAGGTCTCCCTCTGCCCAGCTCCTCCCCCTCCCAGCGCCTACCAAGGCCAGCCCTCCTGCACCCTGGCCTCCTCTGCACAGCAGCCTCCTGAAGGCCAGATGGCCTTGGAGGTGGAAGCCGCCTGCAGTGGACTTTTAAAGGTGGTGTTGACAGTGACAGCAATATCAATGCACAGAGGCCTGCATGAGCTAAGGGGGGGGGGTAGCGCCAGCCAAGATCAAATAAATGGGACTACCCCTCCCCCTCCATCCCTGTACCCGTCTTGCTGCGGAAACACCTCTCTATCAGAGCATCCCTTGCCATTCGGTCTAACCTGATTTTTACCAAAATTAAAACTGGAGGAAAGTTTAATTACAGCCTGTGTAATTCCTAAGAGTTCTAGCCCTACTACCCAAAAACCAGCGTGAATCCCGGGCGTAGGTTTAGTTCAGCGTGTGATTGACAAGGCCTGGGAGTGGTGCCTGCCGTCTTCCCTGCTGACCACGACAAAGGCTCGTGACTGTTATTTCGGACAGTTATTTTCTTCTGTTGGAAGAACCCCTCTTAAATCACCTATCTCCATCGTGGCTTCTCATGTTTTTTGAAGGAATCAGTCAGCGTGGCAGCGTCAGGAACCGGTAGTCCCAGAGCAACGCGCCCCGGGGGACAGGCCTGACAACCTGGGTGACGTCTTGGGACTGGAGCGAGGCAGCGACACCAGCGCGCCTCGGCTGGCCGCCGAGAGCACGGAGACCTGGGGTCCCCGGAGGCCGGCGCCCAAAGAACCAGCTTCGCCAGGAACTTTGATGTCAGGACTGGGACTACGTAAAATCTCTGCCAAGGGCGAAGCTGGTGATGCACACGTCATCCAGAAAGCGCGAGGACTCAGGGAAGGCCTTGTTTTTAATGAAAAGTTTTTATCCTGAAATTTCCCTGGGGAAAGCTGGTGCATTTTCCTCCCCCCCACCCCCCGCGAGGAGAAGGACGAAGGCGGGTATCTCTGGAGTTCAAGGCGACATACGGCACATACAGATCTGCCCTCCTCTGGGATACCGGCGTCTCGTGATCCCAGGTCCCCCCCTCCCCAAAATAGCAGCTAGGCATAGTACGGCGAGGGAAGTTTACGCCTTTAAACAGGACACGAAGAGAAACCCGAAACACCCAAGCAGCGAACCTATAAATCAGTGCGCGGGCACAGAGCGCCAGGCGCGCCAGGGCGGCGCGCACAGCCGGGGGACCGCGCTTCGCTGCGACCGTCTCACCCCGGAAGGGAGTCAAACTTGCAGGCTGCGCACTGGGCAGGCTCAAAGTAGTTGGAGCTGCTTACGCCCGTCCGGGGCCGGCGGGCGCTCCGAGGCTCGGGCGCTTCCAAGTGAACACACCCGGGAGAGGCCAGCTGGGGGAAGGAGCGGGGCCGGAGCGCAGGGCGAGGCGCGCGGGAGAAGGACCGGGGCTCCCCAGGTGCGGCCCACCCCCCCACCCGGCGGCCTCTGGGAGAGGCCTGGACTCCGCAGCACCCAAGCCGGCGCCGCGCGCTGCCTCCCACCCCTACCCAACCCCGGACGCACTCTGCCAGCGGAGTGACAGCCCCCGCCAGCGCCACCCCCAGGGGCGGGAAGGCAGAGAGGAGAGCGCGCGGCAGGAAAGCCAGCTGAGGGCAGGGCGCGAGGCCCTGGGTGCAGGAGAAGTCCCGTCCTCGGCGGGCCCCCGAGGCGGACGGGCGCAGTCGGGGTGGGGGACGAGCGCGGCGAGCGGCGAAGGCCCCGGCGGCGGCGCGCGGGCGCGGCCCCTTTAAGACTCTGCCCTCCCCCGGCGGCGCCGGCCTCCGCCCGCGCTGTCCCCGCCCCGGGGTCCCGGCGCGCGCTGCGATTGGGCGGGCGCGGCGATCCCTTTGAAGTGTGGCCGCCCGGCCGGCTATTTGACGCGCGGCTCGCGGGCGGCGGAGGTTTTTGTGTTGCTCGCCCGGCCGGCGGCGGCGGTGGAGGAGGGGCGGCGGCGCGGAGGCGCACTGCTGCTCGGACCGGCGCTGCGGCGCGAGCCCACCCGCCCGGAGCCCGCCGCCCGGGCCGCCCTGCCTCCCGCCCCCGCGCGCCGCCTCCTCCAAATGAGCGGTTCGCCCGCTGGATCTAACCCAAGGACACCCGAGAGCAGCGGCAGCGGCAGCGGCGGCGGCGGGAAGAGGCCGGCCGTGCCGGCGGCGGTGTCCCTCCTGCCCCCGGCGGACCCCCTGCGCCAGGCGAACCGGCTCCCGATCAGGGTCCTGAAGATGCTGAGCGCTCACACCGGCCACCTCCTGCACCCGGAGTACCTGCAGCCGCTGTCCTCCACCCCTGTCAGCCCCATCGAGGTCAGTCCCCTCCTGCCCGCCCCTCGCCCGCCGCGTTCGCCCGCCGCCGGGCCCGGGACCCGCGCCCCGCTCCCCGCGCCCCGCAGCGCCCCGGCCTGGCCGCGCCGGCGGGCCGAGCGCGCGGGGATGGAAAAGAGGGGTCGGAGCCCTCCAGGTCCTCCGCGCGCCCCCGTGGAAGGCGCTCCTTCCCCGCTCGCCGTCCGGGGCTGCGTGCTTTCTCTCGGATCGGGTTTGCTCCCGTAGCCCCCGCCGGGTCCTCTGCTCCTGCCCCGGCACCCGCTCTCCAGCCCAGAGGCGACCTCTCCCGGGCCTTCCCCGCCCCCACCCCGGTTTGTTCTCTTTGAACGCGGGGTGCCCGGTCCCCCTCCGCCTGGGTCCCACCGGGTCAGGGCGCTCTCCGCCCGGGCACTCCCGACCCCGGGTCGTTCTTCCTCCTACTTCCCCGGTGCCCTCCCCGGAGGGAGGGGCACCTGAGCGAGCGCCAGCGACCGCCCCTCCCTGAGAGTCCTGCTCCCGGCGCCTACTCCGCGGCGCCGTCGCCAGAAACCTGTCCCGGGCGAAGTTCCCCCAAACTGGAGGAATAAGTTTCTTCCTGGGCCCAGAGGAGGGGGTCTTAGAGCGAAGGGGACAGTCACAGCCCCAACCCCAGAGAAATGGCTTCTCCCGCGGTGGACCTGGGCGATCCCCTGCCACCGCCCGGTTCCCCGGGGCCCGTGGCGCGCTCCGGTCCGCCCAGCTGCCCGGCAGGGCCGCCCTCGCCCTCGGCCCCTGGCCCCAAGGCCCTGCCCGCCCCGTCGCGCCGCCCACGCGCCAGCGCCTCCCGCGTCACCCCGCTCCCCGCGCGCCCCCGCGCGCTCGTGGGTCTGTCCGCCTCACCCCTCCCTCCCCTTGCCGCTGTCTCCCACAGCTGGACGCCAAGAAGAGCCCACTGGCGCTGCTGGCCCAGACCTGCTCGCAGATTGGCAAGCCGGACCCGCCGCCCTCCTCCAAGCTCAACTCGGTGGCGGCGGCTGCCAACGGGCTGGGCGCGGACAAGGACCCCGGCCGCTCCGCCCCGGGCGCCGCCTCCGCGTCTGCGGCGCTCAAGCAGCTGGGGGACTCCCCCGCCGAGGACAAGTCCAGCTTCAAGCCCTACTCCAAGGGCTCCGGGGGCGGCGACTCCCGCAAAGACGGCGGCTCCTCCTCCGTGTCCTCCACCTCCTCGTCGTCGTCCTCGCCCCCCGGAGACAAGGCGGGCTTCAGGGTCCCCAGCGCCGCCTGCCCGCCCTTTCCCCCGCATGGAGCGCCAGTCTCCGCGTCGTCTTCCTCGTCCTCGCCCGGCGGCTCCCGCGGCGGCTCCCCGCACCACTCTGACTGCAAGGCCGGCGGCGGCGGGGAGCTGGACAAGAAAGACCAGGAGCCCAAGCCCAGCCCGGAGCCCGCGCCCGTGAGCCGCGGCGGCGAGCCGGGCGCCCTGGGCGGCGCCGAGACCGGGGCCTCGGGGCGCAAGTCGGAGCCGCCGTCCGCTCTGGTGGGGGCCGGCCACGTGGCGCCGGTGTCGCCCTACAAGCCGGGCCACTCGGTGTTCCCGCTGCCGCCCTCCGGCATCGGCTACCATGGCTCCATCGTGGGCGCCTACGCCGGCTACCCGTCCCAGTTCGTGCCTGGCCTGGATCCCAGCAAGTCCAGCCTCGTTGGCGGCCAGCTGTCGGGGGGCCTGGGCCTGCCGCCCGGCAAGCCGCCCAGCTCCAGCCCGCTCACCGGGGCCTCCCCGCCCTCCTTCCTGCAGGGATTATGCCGCGACCCCTACTGCCTGGGGGGCTACCACAGCGCCTCGCACCTGGGCGGCTCCAGCTGCTCCACCTGCAGCGCGCACGACCCGGCCGCGCCCAGCCTGAAGGCGGGGGGCTACCCCCTGGTGTACCCCGGGCACCCGCTGCAGCCCGGCGCGCTCTCGTCCAGCGCAGCGCAGGCCGCGCTGCCCGGCCACCCGCTGTACACCTACGGCTTCATGCTGCAGAACGAGCCGCTGCCGCACAGCTGCAACTGGGTGGCGGCCAGCGGGCCGTGCGACAAGCGCTTCGCCACCTCGGAGGAGCTGCTCAGCCACCTACGGACCCACACGGCCCTGCCCGGCGCCGAGAAACTTCTGGCCGCCTACCCCGGGGCCTCGGGCCTGGGCAGCGCCGCCGCCGCCGCCGCGGCCGCCGCCTCCTGCCACCTCCACCTGCCCCCGCCCGCCGCCCCCGGCAGCCCCGGGTCGCTGTCCTTGCGGAGTCCACACACTTTGGGGCTAAGCCGGTACCACCCCTACGGCAAGAGCCACTTATCCACAGCAGGGGGCCTGGCCGTGCCGTCCCTCCCCACAGCCGGACCCTACTACTCGCCATACGCGCTGTACGGACAGAGACTAGCCTCAGCCTCGGCGCTCGGATACCAGTAACTACAGCCCTTCCTCCGCCCGCCTGTCCCCAGCCGCTGTCGCCGCTGCAGCCTCCACTACTGCTCGTCCCCGCCGGGAACCCCGCCCAGACCCTCCCCAGCGGGACTGTGTATTTATTTACTGTAATGTTAGCTTACAAGCTGGGAATATAAGTGCATTAACGGCCCACACGAGTCGATGGTATGCAAAAAGTCTGTGTCTCCCCCAAATAATAATATTAATCACACAAATAACTACATGATCCCTGCCCCTCTTTTTTTCTTTTTTTTTTCTTAGGTATAAGTTTTAAATTTTTATTCTTTCTCTTTTTTTTTTTTTTTTTTTTTAGGGAGAGGAAGGAGAGTAGGGCACCTGGGTTCTTCTGTTTTGATTTCGCTCCCTGGGAAGTTTCTTGCATGAGTCTTAACTGTTAAAACTACATTTCCCCTCTCTCTCTTTCCCCTCATTCCCTCTTGTTTCCTTCCATTCGGGGTTCTGATTTTTCCTTTGTACAAGTAACAGACAGGAGATTTTTTTTTTTTTGGCAACACATTTTGGGGAGCGGAGGGGGCGTGCTGAGGGCTGTTGGACTGGGAACTCTGCGACTCCTCCCTAACAACGACCCTCTCCTCTTAGGGTCCTGGGTCTGGGCCCTGGCCCCCCAAATTAGGCTTTGCTCCCCCCTACCTTGCTCTGAGCGCGGAGAGCCCTGACCCCAGCAGGTGCCCCCTGTAGCGGGGCCCAGGTGGCCTCCGCCCAGAGCCTTTGCGTCCACTGTGTCCTTCCGGACCCCCTCCCGGCCCTGGCGCCCGGCGGCCCCCGCCTGCTGGCGGGGCACCTCCTAGGGCCCGGCTTTTACCCAGTTTAAAAGTCCTAGAAGGGCCCCCTCTGGCGCTGGCGTGCAGCTCTGCTCCTTAACATTTTGCGAAAGTGCTTTACTGAAGTCATTGTTTTTCCTCTCCCTGACTGGGGCGATGACCCCTCCCCTGGCGGTAGGGGCGGGGTCGCTGATTCTCGCTAGAACCCCCCAAAGCGACGTCGGCGGGCGTCACAACCTTGCTAGCTCTGCTGGGGGGAGGTGGGGGCGCCGGGGCGCGCGCGCCCCCGCCGGACCCGGCACAGCCCCCCGAGTCGGCCGTGGGCCCCCGCAGGCGCCCGCAGGGACTGGGGTGCGAGGCCCGGCCCGGGTCTCCTGCCCGCACCCCCCCCCGGGCGGGGCCCGTTCGGGGCGAATAGAGCTCTCCCTTGGTAAGACTTATTTTGTTAATAAATGGAATACTTGGCTATATTCACACCGTGGTGTTTGTCTCTTGCATCACCCACGTCCGAGCACCTGAGCAGATGCCCTTCTTTTACGCTCGTTTGGAACGCCTCCTGGCTTCCTTCTGTGACTTCCGCTCAAGGACGAGTTTAATAAATGCCTTTCCTCCAGCAATGGGGGGAGGAAACAAAACTCCCGCCAACGCATTACGAATAACATAAAACCACTTTTATTTCTTTTTTTTTTTCTTTTTTTCCCTGCTTGGTTGTTTAGCTCCCAGCCTCACTTCAAAGGCCTGGACGCTCCCTGGGGCCAGGGTGGAGGGCGTGTGTGCAAGCGGATTTCGCTCCGAGCCCGGGTCCGGGGTGCGCGGGGGCCGAGGAGGGGAGCAGCCCCCGGGCTCCCGCGGAGACTCGCCGCCGCGCCGTCCGGGCCCGCGGGCCGAGACCGCGTGCCTTTGGCGCCACCTGGTGGCGGAAAGGCGCGCGACGTGCGGCGAGAGGTCGCCGCCGGCTCCAGCCCCGACGGCGCCTCCGCGCGTCCAGCCCGCTAAATGCAGAGGGTTTCCACTTGCTGGGATTCTTTTGAGGGGCGCGTGGTTCCTCTCTTTCCTGACCAAAGGGTAAATGCACCTGCTGAGAAGGTCGCTTCTCACGACTTGCGGGCTGGGTCCCCTCAGCCAGCGCTGGGGTGTCGACCTGCTTGTCTGCACCCCTGCAACTTTTGGGAGCGGGGTTTGGGGTTTCGCTGAGAAGGCGTGGCTGTCGCTCAGGACCTTGACGCCGCTCTTGGTCCCGCGGAGCCGGGCTCCTAGGCCGGGCTTGTCTGTTTTCTGGACCTTGCACAGCCCACACAGGCTTCTGCGCCCTCGGGCAGTCGAGGGTGGGTGCTGTCTACTGGGGTGCTGGCCAGGACACCTGCCCACTGCGCGAGTGTGCGAGGCCGGAGGAGAGGACGCCCACGGGCGCCCCTGAGCCCTCCTGCTCAGTGCCGGCTGCTGTCCCCACCGCGCCCGCCGAGGCCCGGGCGCGCTCCGGCTGTGGTGCCCGACGCGGGGCTGGCGCTTCGCTCTCCGCGCACGCGGCAGGACGTGCGGGCCCTCGGCGTCCTGGCTGCGCCCCTGTCCGTGGCTCCGCGTGGCCGGGGGCCTGCTGTGCTGTGCTGCTGCGTTTCTTCTGAGAGCAGCGTGACTTGGTAGGTCGTTGGTGCTCTGCAAACTGAGTGCTTCCGAGCCACCTGCGGCCCGAGGTCAAGTGTGCGGAGGTGGGGCGCCTTCTCTGCCCACGCGCACTCAGTTCTCCAGAAAGCTCCGAAGGCAGAAGCGCTGGCCGGGGCCTTCCCTGGGGCCTCGACGGGACTCCAGCTAGAACTGTGTGTGCGCGCTCCTCCGCCCAGACCTCCGGATCTGGGCAAAACCCCTTCCTGGTCAGGAGAACACCAGGACCCCCTCACAAGGTCAGTGCAGCCGCCGTGGGGCCCGTGCGTGCCCGGGACTGGGAGCCTGGGCTGCTGGCGTCGTCCCGGCACAGGAAGGACCCGAGTCGGGCGGGACAGGGTGGGCTGGACCGTCGCCCAGAGACCGGCCCGGGGTCTTCCCGCCGGGCAGTCAGCATTACCTGATGTCTCGGTGTTCAAATAGGCCCAGATCCTTAAAAAAAACATGAGATGTGGCCAGTCGTTGCTTTATTTTTTTTCTTTTCTCTGTCGTGTTTGCTGTGTATTGGTATTCTCTTTCTCCCCAGTCCCCTCTTTCCTTCAGAGACCCTCGTTTTCAAAGCCTGCTACAGCTGGCAGAAATTGCTCCCTCTGCAGGGACACCTGGACTTACCTTTCTCACAATTCAGGGCAGACCTCGCTGCCCAGGGACCCGAGGGAGAGACGCGACCTCCCACAACTAGCCAATTCTCCATAGACCAAAAGAAACTTTTCCAGTAGCTGTTTGGCGTACGCCTTAGGTTAGAGTTTGCCCCATAAAACGTTTTGGCTGCCTTTGGAGACTCAGGAGGTCACCATTGGGCCTGGTTGGTCACCGTTGGGCCTGGTTGGAATAGGCTGTCCCTAACTACCATCTCGACCCCCAAGGTTCAGGTCATGTAATCCAGAGTGTCTAGCTCGCACCCTGAAATGACTGCTCTCCCCACAGTCCGTTGGTGACATTCCTAAGAAATGTGGCTCTTTTAACTAGCTGGTGGGGAGTTTGTCATGCTTAATAGCTTAATTCCCATTAAAGTAGCCATTTTAATAGAAATGATACTCCTCCCACCAACTGCTTATTTGCATAATCAATTTATAGAGCAACTGTGTCTTTGGGGATCACTCCACCTTCTCTTTCTCCAACTCCTTCTCTTCCCAGCTCTCCTCTCTATCCTGATCTCTCCCAAGCACCAGAAATGAGGCCCGTATTCCCAGAGCACCAGGAAGGGGGGAAGCCGCAGAGCTGGAACTTGAGGCACTGGACGTTCCTGGCTCAGGGTCATATTTTCGCACCTCCTGCCCTGTTATTTTTGTGGCCTTGTGGCAGCAGAGAGAGAAGGGGGGGGGAGGACGAGGAGGAGGAGGAAGGGAAAGTTTCACCCTCAGATATAGGTTTGACTCAAACGAAATGGTGTGGTGTTAAGCGTTTAACTTCCCAAGTATCCACCCACAAACCCATCTCCTTAAGACATTCCCAGCCCAAGCGGGAGGTGTGGACCCTTCCCCATCCTTCTGCAGCCATAACTGCCTTGCCCTGCCTAGTGTACTGTGGCTGTATCTCTCAATCCACGAGCTAACTCTCTCCTGATGCACGTCTGGGTTACGGCGGAATTCGTCTTGTGATAATCCTGTGGGCTCTGCACTTTATTAATCATTCTGCAGGGGAAGCTGCACTCCAGTTTTCTGTTTGATTTGATTTCATTCATCCTGTCTTTCTGCAAAATAGATGGCTGAGTGCATCCGATAATGTATGGTTTAATTTGGAGCACTATGGGTTTGAATTACCATTTTCATAATGTGCTGTGCATTAATGTGTTACATCATTTATAAAGAGGAATGTGCCGGGGTTTCAAACTTTCTCCCGAAAGCCAAAGTCACCTAAAGGAAACAAAGCCAAATCACTTCAACCCATCTTCTTACCTCCCTGCCAGAGAAACTCCTGCCTCCCCAAGCCCAGTTAAATCTGCCAAAGCTCATAAAACCCAACATGAGGCTTTTGTGTTCGAAGAATGCAGGTGGGTGTCGAGGTTTGAGGGGAGCTTGCACATGGCTTCCCGGAGCCGGAGCCGGGAGCCGTCAATGGCAGTACAAAGCTCCCCTCATTATTGCATAACAACAGCTTTGCAGCCAACCCGTTTTCGATTTTTTTTTTTTTTTTACTGGAGACCTCCAGTGGATGGCTGTCCTTCGACCCTAATCCCAGCACACACACACACCCCCAATGGCTGTAATAACACCAGCTGTCTGTTACTCAAACTCTGACTGAGAAGGAAAAAGCACTGATTATCCAAATACAGTCATTAAAGGGGAAATGTGTTTTTAGGACTGTCAGAGTGATTAATGAGGGCTAGCCGTCTTTGCAAATGCACTTGTTTAGTCTAACTGGCAGCTTCTATTTTCCTATTGATTTATTGCAGCCGTTGCCGGGCCTTGGTGTGTGCGAAGTCAGGGCACTTCACAACTGAGCCCTGTTTAAACAGGAAAAGCATGCACCATTTTGTCCGGGAGGGAGGGAGCAGCCTAAAGTCTCTCCCTTCAGTTCAGTCTCCAGGGGCCCCAGGCAACAAAGAAGACATTAAAAACCTGCAGCCCAGAGAGGGAAGGAAACTGCCTCCCCTGGGTCGTCCCTGGTCACTCGGTTCCAAGGTCAGTGGAGACGCAAGATGGCCCGGGACAAAGCCTGCCCTATTGTGACACTCAGCATGCCCACATTTTCTCTTCAGTCCTCCAAA